GTTTTCAATTAGGACTTTGTAGAGCTTCATATTGCGTAGCATTTGCTTATGTTATCGTTAATTTAAAAGTTCCCAGGAAAAGTTGCTGAGTGAATCAAAAACATTTTACTGAGCATTTGGATCTAAAATATATTTTGTACATCTACACACTTTTCACAGCGCTGTTGATAAAACCCAGATTTAAAAAAGACTCCGTTCAGGTGATTTCCAGCAGAGCTGAGCGAAGTGGCTCACATTGTGCAGGTGTCAGCTTTCAGAGCATGTTGGGGTGATTGTAATAATTATGCTGTCTTTAATTGCCAAGGACTCAAAGGGGCTTGGCAAGCAAATCATCTGATATCCCGCTGTCTGCGTCACAACTCGTGTGTCAAAAAGCACCTTCTGAAAAGCTTATTACTGCAGAGATTTTATCATGCAGCACTTCACCTCGCTTGTACAGAATAGCTCAAGGACATTCTCCTGTGCTCTGGCAGGGAACATGTTTAGCTTGCAAGATTTGCTCCTGTCATACACAAAATGTACAGCAAGGTAATTGTTCACTGTCAAGGTGTGTCAGCAAAAGACTTTTGTGTGTGTCTGTGTGTGTATACTGTATACTCTTGTATGGACATATGGCGAAAGAGCCAAAGATTCCACTTTAATTAATGGCTGTCACTGTACCTGAAAGGGCAGGAAAAGGCTGGTCAAATTACCACAACTTCTGCTCCCGTAACACATGGCTCAAGGCTGCAGCCTCTGAAGCAGAACGCTCCTGCTGCTAAATTGCTAAATGTGATTCTTCCCGTTCCCCTCTTGATGCAACATCCCATAAAGCAGTCCCAGAAGTGCTTTTTTATAATATTATATAGATCCTAAGGGAGCTGTAAATCTCTTGCATCTGCTCAAATAGAAACCGTGCTCATGTTTAAGGTCAGTGTACTGTATGTTTTCCAAGACATTAGCCTACTACTGAGGTAGGAATCATAAGAAGAATAGGCAATGCCAATATAATGGCAATGGGAGTTTAATTAGCCTTTAGAAAGAATTAATGTTGACTTCCGTGTATTTAAGTGTCAGGCTCAGGACGGATATCATCTGTCATGCTGGCAATTTAATTTCACTCCATTAGACAGCTGTCTGAAATTAAACTTTAATTACATATTCTAATTAAATGCTATCTCAGAGTAGATGTGCATGGTTTTGTAAACATCTCTTAGCTAACATTTTGGCTTTTGCAAAACACACAATGCACTATTTTATTTATTAATTTATTTATTTATTTGGGTTTTTTTGAAAACACAGTGATGTATGAGACTAGCAAGGATAAAAGAGTGTTTCTGGGGCAAAGTATCGTCACAGTTTCCAAATGACACGGTGAGCTTCAATAAAGAGGACATTTCACAATTAATTAAAGCCATGGAATGAATTCAATTTGCAGCTCAGGTTTAATGAGAGCAATGCATTAGCTGGGTAAGACTTTTCAGTGTAGGGATTTTTTTAACATTTTACCATTTAAATGTTTAACCATACATGGCAGGATAAATGTTTATTAGAACTTAACAAATTAGGGATCTCAATGTTATTCATGAAGCCTACCCAGAACAGTTTGCCCAAACACACCTTAGGTGCCTTGCATTTTTCTTTCTCATGTGCACCTAAAATTGATAAAGGAGATATTTCTGAGTAGATTAGATGTGAGAACATTTACTTAGAAAACACAATTGTACCAGATTATTTTGCTGTTCTTTTTTAAGTTGCACTGATCATACATCCTGTCTTGACTCCAAGCCTTTTTTTCTAATTTGAAAAAATAAGAAAAGGTAAAAAATAAACCCCTTTCTCTGAAAAAAGTAAATGTAATGTGCCTTCAAAAACCATTTTGAGGGTACATTTATATTGTTCATCTGTTGGTGGGAAATCTACCTGTACAGTACCTTTTGTCTGAGTTCCACTGTGAAAAATCAATGACTTGTACTTGGCTGTTTCGACTGGAAATTAAATAAATGACTTTTGTATAGTACTCGATGTCAATATGAAAGTTTGTTTTAAGTAGAATCAGCCCAGCCTAAACTCCTGAAGCTCAGTTTTGGGGACATAAAGGTCCAATCCTAGTAAACCACAGATTAAGTAGCACATTAAAAAGCACTTCAATGGAGAATTGCTGCTGACAGTGTATTTTATTATAAGAGTAATGCTATTCTGTGCCTGCAGAGCCAAAGAGAGATTGGTTTACTTTAAGTTCTGCCTTGACATTCATTTTTAGAGCTTTTACCTTTGGTATTCATGTTTCATTATTACTGTTTATTGTTATTTTGTTTTTGTTGCATTATAATGTTCTTTTGATTCATTGTTTGTCTTTAAGCTGCTTAATTTAACCTTCTTTTTTGTTTTTCATTTTCTTTCGTTCTTTTTTTAATTATATTGGCTTAGGTTCTGCCTTCTTTAATCTGCTTTGTGCTTTTTCTTATCACACATCAACTAATATTTGCTTTATTTGATCACTGCTGCAATGCACTACTGAGATGCACTTACAGGGAATTAAAGTGTACTACAAATAGTTATTATTAATATTATTATTTTTTTAAATTAGCAGTAGTAGTAGAAGTAGTAGTGATACTATTAATATTCACAGTGGGGAGACTACAAGAAGACTGGCTCAAACAAAGTCATATTACATTCAAAACAGAAACAATGTGTGGCTTACTGTGAAGGTCAAGAAATACGGAGATTTACAGCCTCATTTCTGTGCTTTATAATGGAAATGAAACATATGCAGCATAGGCTGTGCCTAGAGAGTATAAAAAAGAAACACTTATCTTTCCTTACAGCTCACAAAGGAGTATATTTAGGAGAGGAGCACCATAAGAGCCATGATGTCAAGATACTAAGACAAAGACAGAAAGTGAAAAATAAAAACACCTTCCACATTTCCATGGAACCTCATTTTAAAATATAAGTCAGTCAAGGCCATGTCTGTGCAACATCAATAAATCTAGACTAAACTAGAATCTATATAATAGTTCCTATTTCTGTGTGTCTGTGCTTATGAGATTCAGTAGAGTGACACTGCGTCAATCAAGACTCTTCTTCACTCTATACTAACAAGAGCTGTCTCTCTCTCTCGCTCTCTCTCTGTCTCTCACTTTCTCTCCCTCTCTCTCTCTCTCTCTCTCTCTCTCTCTTTCTCTCTCTCTTTCTGTCACTCTGGCCAGAGGACTAATAGATCTGGACAGTCGTCTTGGAAACTGCCATCTAGATAAGGACAAGCAGATGCCTGGTAGCTGTAGGTGACCTCAAGTATACTGTATATGGACACTATGGAGATATATCAGTTTGATTTCTAAGCTGGTGACTGAAAGTAGACATGCCAATAATGGTATGACATATTCTCGATTTCCACTAAGACACACCCTGAGAGAACTGGACTCATTTTCAAGTCATTAGTAAATGTAAGATAATATTTCCTACAAGGTTACAACAAAACATCAACAAAAACTATCCAGATCTATCAATCCTCTGCTATCAGTTTTAGTCAACTAGAAATATGGAAATATGCCATCAAAACAATTATACCTTTACATGATCTTGCAATTTATCATAATGAAAACCTTTATTATATTGTAGTGCTTGTGGCCCATAAATAATCATTTTGCCTCTTTCTATTAGTTTAAAATTTTATAGACAGTAGTATGTTTTAGTGTGTTATGTAATCCATGTAATCCTAAAAAAGTAGTTGAAAAATAATTGAAACATACGTCAGGCACAGGTTCTGCTATATTTCTGCTAACCTATTAGCCAGCTAGACATGTGGTGGGTGTAATCCATAAGCTACATCTGCAAATGTTTTTGATTGATTTGATTGATAACTGTAATTTATTTATAAGAACAAGGGACCAGCTATCGAGACATGCCAGTAAAAAAAATGTCAAAAATAAAAAGCTACAAAGGTATACTTTTATTTCCCTTTCGAGTCTGCTGAGAGTGTGTGAACATCAACTTGAATCTAATTCAGACTTAATCCAGAGAGTAAACAAACAACATGACTTTTTTTTCCTTAAGGAGAGCGATTCCCACCATTGTATCCTACATCAATACCAATAAGCATCCATACTTGCACTGAAAGCAGATCCTTCCTTCTTATCCTTCCTTCCCACAGCTTTTGAAAATATGTTGGTACTCACTGGTTCTAGGCTAGTATGTCTCACTATCACCACCTGCTGGACAACGCCTAATGCCTAAAGAAAAGTCTACTGTTTGAAGAAGATATACACACTGGGCTCAAGGATCAAAATCCTCATCACCACCACAACAATTATCATCATCATTCAATTGCAGGACAATGAGCAGGAAGACAAAGGGGTAACATCAGTGAAAGCTATCTGTGATCTACTGAGGAGTGTGACAGGATTACAGCTGACCTCCCAGCAGGCTGATATCTGATTTGCTCTGCCAGCTCATTGCTATTCTCCCTCCAGGTCAAAAATCTGTTCAGAGAGACTCTGTAGCTCACGCGAGGTCATCATCAGTCTGGGAGGGAAACAGCAAGTAAGCTACTGCTCTGTTTAAGCAGAACAATCATCACACACGTGCAGGCACACAGAGACAAAATGTGAACTCTCCACTCATCCCCATTTTATTCCATTAACCACAAAATGCAACTTTATTTTCAATCCTGCTGTCACCACTTTGAAAAATGATCCATGGAGGAAGATTTTCATATACAGCAGCTACTCGTGTTCTTCCACTCAGCATGCCACTAGAGCAGCATCCAGTGCACTACCGTGTGGTTACTTGCTGTGATGAGTTATGCTGAGGTTACTGTAAATATAGTAAATATGGTCCTACAGTGGCTGACCTAAACTGTACCAGTGACAGTCAAAATCCTCTCTTGTACAAATGAACTGATGGTCACTAGCAGCCAGTTTCATTTTAATCAAGTGCCATAGGACAATGAAAACCTCACAGTCAAACTCAGTCCGTGGTCTGAAAGATAAAGGACAGAGAGCAAGGATGCAGCCTACCTCGGTCACTGTAATCGTCCACCAAAATGATCTCAGCAATTAGATGGTCTGGTGTGCGGTTTACAATGCTGTGGATGGTACGCAGGAGAGAGCTCCAACCCTCGTTATGGAAAGGGATAATGATACTGGTATTGGGGAGGTTTTCCAGATACAGCTTCTGCTTACAACTGAGAAAGAAATAGAAAGAGAGAGAGAGACAGAAATGTGAGTAGCCTGTGTAATAAATAGATCATTTTCTACTATACTGCAAACCGTTGAGTACACTGTGTGAATAGAGTGTGAATAGAGCTGACTGTGGTGGGGCTAGTGATGTAATTCCTATTATAAATCACTGTTTAAAGAGGCCCATCACTCCCCCTGCCCTAATAAAGCATTCAGAATTCCACACATTAATTGAGTTTCAACAAAGCCAGAATTGGCAGACGAAGCAGCACTTAACGGCTCACGCAAGTCTCTCTAATTCACCACCCTGACAAACCTGACAAGCAGCCCATAATTTATTACTCCCCTATAGCACAAGCAATCTTAGAAAGCTCAGCAGTTTATTAACATGAACATACTTAAATGGAAAATGGAAAAAAAATAAAACAAAACCATTTTATTTGGACTGTAAATTAAAAAGAACAAGCCCTACAGAGTAAAGATAACCTAAGCAACTTAAACATCTGCTATGGTGTAAATGGGTTTATACTAGAGGGCAGCCAGTCTGTGAAACACAGGGAGCTAATCTGACTCCCTGTCAAAAAATTCTACAGTATGAAATACTGAGGAGAAAAGGGGCCAGCGATTTGCAAAGTAATGACCAGATAGCATCATATGCCACTCACACACGTTAGGTATCATTATCTCACAATGTGCAGATCATCTTCCTCACAGATTTCGCATACATCACACTTTAAATCAAGAAACCCCTAGACACCACAGTCCATAAAGAAATCAAAATTTTTAACATAAATATTATTTTTTACTAAATAGTTCAGTTGTATTTATTATTTCAAGTTTTAGGTTTATTGATGCAAAAAACTGCAGACAGCATTACTATCTCAGACACTTTACATTTACAATGCTGTGCAAAAGTCAGAGACTACTTTTTCATTCAGTTTCCAATCAGCATGGTTAGTTAAGTACAAGTTAAATGTTTTTCAAGCAAAAATATATTTAACAGAAAATTACACAAAAGCCTCCAAATCCATGTATAATATCCAATCTTTTAGCATTTCATTTGTCTGTTCTTTACTTTTGTGCATCCTAAAGCCACTTTAACTCTTCCATCCTTCCACTTTTAAAACCAACGAGTTACAGTTGTGTCCTCCCAACAAAAGGTGTTCTCAAAGGTGTCACTGAAAAGTTAAACTTTATTGTTTTTTGTAAATCTACACTTTTTCCACATTTTATGCCTGCAACACACTCCAAAAATGGCACAGGAGCATGTTTACCACTGTAATAGGCGGCCTTGTAAAAGACGTTGTCTAGACGACAGCATATGTTGCTCCAAAATGAGTTCAGCGTTAATGTTACTTTCAAAGAAATGCTAGTTACCCACTAATACCCCGCCTACCATGACATACTATGGCTTTTAAACTGTATGCTTGTAACAATCTGGATGGCCCTTTTCTTCTTTGGCCTGGAAAACACAATATCCATTGTTTCCATAAACAATCGGAAAGGTTGCTTCGTCAAAGCCCATTACGTGCTTTAAGTGTGCATTAGTTCATTTGAGATTCAGTCCAGAGGAGTCGTCTGTGTTTCTGGATGCTGTTGACATATGACTTTCGCTATGCATAATACAGTCTCAATTTGCATTTACGGATGCAGCAACAGACGGTGTTTACTGACAACAGCTTGTATTCCCGGGCCCACGGGGTGATATCCATCGCAGAAGTGTGCTGTTTTTTTTTAAACGCTGTGCTGTCTGAGGGGTCAAAGGTCACAGTCACTTGTGGTTTTTAAATTAAATAAAATTAGATAAAATATTACACATCTAGTCTTTATTCTGTTTTTTTTTCCCAAATACAGGCCAAAGTAGATTTATAAATCACTACTTTTTTACATTTTACTGTACCTACTGTACCAACTTTTTTTTAGGAATTGGGTTTGTGATTTAAAAACTATTTAATCCCATAACAGGCCAGGGCTCTACAGCAGGCCCAAAGTTTTATCACATACTTCTCTAACCTAAGAACACATCAACCAATTTTCACTGAAGTCTGAGTAGTTACTGAATAATAAGCCTTAGTGTGTTAAGAGCCTGGGACTTTGAGGGCTTAACTACAACAAAAACCTGCAAATACATTACATTCAGAAACTAAAATGAGCCATACATACAACACAAATTATTGTAATTTGTTTAGCAGATCAGAACAAAAAAAGTAAATAGTTTGTTCTCTAAGAGAGTTAAGTGTTGGCTAGTCCTGCAGCCAGCAACAGCCGATTTACAAAGAGAGTAAAGCCCTAAGATGGGATGGAGAACAAACTTGGCAAACATAGGCAGAGTTCACCTCATTTGGTAGAGGGACTACAAAAATCTAATGTTGAAGAGCTAAAGAGCAGCTCTGCTACTTTTGCTCCAATATGTTTTGGCAAACTCTATTTTATGCTTCTTCTAATTTCCTGTGTGTGGCTTCTATTTTGTCAAAACTGGCTAAAAGTCATGAAAGGTTCATTTTTGAAAGGTCATTATCTTAAATCCAGGTAGAAAATTTAATATTTTCAGTGCATTTTTGTTCTTAACAAGTGTAATTATCTTGTGTCCATGCAGCATATCACTGTTGTCGGAAGAAACCTTGTATCTCCAAGATGGTAACTTTACAAGAGAAGGAAAAAACATACATTACTTTTAATGTAAGTCAATATAACCAGAGTTTTTCCCAAGTCATTTTGGGCCGTTTCTATTGGTCCGTCCCTCACGAAATTTACATCCAATGTAAAGGGCAACAGCCATTTTCAAATTATGTCAAAAACTGAAAAATGGACAAATGACAAAAATGGAGATGCAAGGTTTTCTTCTGACAGCAGCAATATCTAACATTTTGTGTGAATGATTTTACCTACCACACTAAAAGATGTGTCTATTTCTAGATATCTTCAGAAAACTAATTTAGTTATTTCAGGTAACTAATCACATGAAATTATTTCACTTCTTAATATTATTCTTTCATTTTAAGACATTTTTTTTCTCCTTGTACATGATATTCTCTGTGACAACAGTCCACATTTTACATCACACTGTTCAAACATGAAATCCACAGCTGCATCGCTCTCAGTCAGTCACCCGCCACAGTAACACACAGTTGCTCCAGCCTCCATGCTGAGCTGCTGATTCACACAGTGGGCCATTTTCACAAACACTCTCAGAGTCAGGGTAATGTTGCAGGATAGTTAGAGCTTTTTATTAGCACACAGAGATGAGGCCTTGAAAGAGAGTGGGGCGGCTGCTCCTGGATCAGCGCTGCTGTTCTAAGCTGCATTGTGAATGCAGGCAGCAGTCAGCAGGCAGTGTTACAGATCCCGCAAGGAGAGCTGCAGGCATACACAGGGCCTGGAAATAAACAGCCCTGCACCAGCAGTGAAGCCTCGATCCTGTCTGCTGCTGCCGAGCGGACACAGATGGATTTAGACGAGTTTACAGCCAGCAGACAAATTTTGAAAGCCAAACACCAACTATGGTCAATTCTAGGAAGAAATACACAAGCTGCAATTGACAAACACTGCACGCTGGTACAACACACATTTAAAAGCTTTGAAATGCCCAGACGTGATGGAGTTTCAAAAGGTGCACTGTTTCCTGCTAGAGCATGGTAACCTGTCCTTCCACAACACAATGAAGGAGCGAACTCAATTCTCCATCTATCTTCAGCTTCACGCTGGAGTCAATAGGAGGGGCGCCTGCTGAGGCAGAGCCAATCTTTCATTATTGACAGCCCCTGTAACGAACTCCAGTCGCCCATCGGACTTTGACCCTTAGGTATGTGAGGTATAAGTGAATTTGCTCTTTCCAGAGGAAAATCTATGACTGGAACGGAGTTTCTATGGGCAGCAAATGACGCAGAGTGGCGAGCCTTCTGAGAACAATTAATGATCAATCCATCAAAGAGCTCATTTAGCGAGAGAGCATGTGTGAAACAAGCCCATCTGCTCCAAAGCAAGCCAATGGAAGACTGTACACCTCTGTCTTTCATCTTTGGCTATGACATCCTTAGATGAAAGAGACTCACTAATAGTAGAGCGAAAAAAATTGAGGCAAAAATTGAAAGTCTCATTTCTGTCATATTTGCAGAGGTGAGAACTCATAAACTGATACTCAAGTAAAATACTTATTTTGATGAAAAATGTGCTTAAGTTTCAGCAGTTTGAGTTTGACAAAAAAGTTAAAAAAGATCAAACACAAGATTCATGAGAACCGAACAAATTTAGAGTAAATTTTAATCACTTTTTCAAACTATGCGTAATTGTTCATAGGCAAAAAATAGTAGCGTGCTTCATCATTCTGAGGTAAAAGTCACATCAGTGTCAACAGCATGCAGTTATATGTACTCTGGAAATCCAATTAAAGTGTAGTGTAACAGTAAGTTAGTGAGAAAGGAAATGACAGAAAATTTAACTAGTGGACGTAGTAAGTTATAGAACAGAGAAATCACCTTAAACTCCTTTAAAATTAATTCTAGTAAAACTGATATTCTCAGGAGGACTATTTGAAGAATGCATGTTCTGCGTTTTTTATTACAAATATCTTTTTAAGACATTCTCTCAGATATATTCAACTTTGATACAAATATGCTTTATTGTGATGCATTGTGAGATGATGCAGTACAGCATTAAATTATCACCTAAATCATTACAGACACCCATGGTAAAACCACAGTCCTCAGTATTATCCACAAAAAATAGTTCATGCTTTTATTCTTTTTTGAAACGCAGGTAAGCCACCTGATTCAGTGCACCAAAGGAGAACAGTAATCCACTGACTTTAATTAGCTGAATTGAGTGTTACTGACAAAAGTTTGTATGCACACTGGTCCTTTGGGGACAAGACTGGGGACTACCAGCATAGGCGGTTAAATGTTTCATAAGCTGCTATAAAAAGGGCTTCTGAAGGCAACGTCATGTAGGGCTTATGGATGCTTTGCCAGTTCTACTCACTTTGGATGTCTGATGTCAGGCAGGGAGCGATCCAAAGCAACGTTGTTGCTGACGTAGATGTTAAAACCATTCTCTTTGTACACTGAGTCATCACACTCATCCTCCGCAAGTGGATATGGCTTCCCATGCTCTCCTTTCCCTGTAACACATTAATATAGATATTAGCTGTGTGTGTGTGTGTGTGTGTGTCTGTGTGTGAGTGTGTGTGTGCACATACACAGGAGTGCTGTGGTAAATGTCATAATCCTGGGATTGTAAATTTCAAATGAAATTGTTTGGGCAAAACAATGAAAAAAACAAAATTTCATAATTGTCATCTAGGTTAAAATCACTAATCATTACACTTGACTGTGCATATTTAAAAAAATGAGACACTGCTTAGTTTGTAATATTTTAATTACTCACATACTCCTCTATGTAAATCCTCTATCATGCTACTACTGCAGTTATATAAATTTGACACCGATTACACTTGTATCTTATTAACCAAGACAGATAAGTGGTCTGAGACAGCAGAGATGTGCCTTAACAACATCCACTCATAATCACGAACATTGCACACAAGTCACAAGTGTACTGCTGCTGTCCTTTTTTACACTACTCTAACCCTAATTACTCCTTATAATCTAATTTTGGCCTTTCCTCATGATCGTAGGCTACACTCAAGATGCTTTTTAGAGTAGAAATCCTTGTTCAGTATCATATGGTTTTACCAAATGTATGCATACCAGACTAGACAGAAAAAAAAATTAACAAAAGAGAGAGCTTTTCTTCCAGTTTAATCTTCACATGACAAATTTATGGCCAAATATCTTTAACACTCAGATAAGTATTTTGCATAAACATAAACTATACTGAGTATATATATAGTTGCATATATATATATATATATTCGTCCAATAACTTCTTTTTCTTTTTGCAACAAAATAAACAGTCTGCAGCAAACAAGAACTACAGCTTATACAGAGTAGAATGAAACTAGATACAAAACGTGATGGTGTATTCATATTTTAAAGTATTTCTGGGAATAACCAGAAATTATGACATGGTAAAATGTAAATGTTTTTGAATAGTAAACTATCTATTATCTATTTACAGTAATTTCAAGTTTCATTTTAAATTAACAATCAGCTATTTGATCTGAAAGATTTAGTCACTGCTTTTTGAATATGAAGCACTTTGGACATTTATTTTATTGTCACATCATTCTCAATGTTCTACAGCTTGTGCAAGTGATGTGGGTGACATTTTATGAAGACTGTTTACTGAATTGGTATCTATGCAGTGGATGATTACAAAGTGTTCATGGGGGCTGGATGTTTTCCTTTTGCATATTTCCAACCCTATGAGGAATTTCTTCATGAGAGACTGATTTCAAAACAAACCATCATCCCACCCATCCAGTTAATTCATTCTGACAGATCTTTTGTCTGATGTACAAAAATCACTCTGCCTGAGAAAACAAAATTCACGTCTCCTTTGAAGTGTGAAAAAATGGAAAGTTTCCAAAACAAACCAAGCAAAACAAAAAATGTGCGCTTCACTTTATTACAGTTCAAAATACAATGCGGCCTCAGTATTAGAGAGGAAGAACAGCCTCATATCCATATTTCTCCTTTCAAGTGAAAATAATGAGAACTGATTGAGGTGGATGATAAAAAGTTCCCTCCAGGTTTTAGCTTTTGAAATGATATGATCATGTTTCATATGGAGAGCTCTGCCAGCACCACTAATGAAAGCATTCTGTCATCAATTCAGTGGCAGATGTCATTCATTTGTCTCACACAATAGCGCATTCTTAACAAGCTCTCTCCGACTGTCTACAGTGCGAATCCCCCTCCTCCTCTTGGAGCATGTTTCAGCCTCCTCTCCTCAATGCTCAGCGTCTCTGAGCACAAAGTCATCTCTCCGTGTGCATAATTACGGTAACCTCACTCCCACTCCTCAGGGCGTTTTCTCAGGACTACTGACTTATAGATAAAATATGAATCATAACACAAATTTATAAATTCAAATACTCCCACATAGCACCCTACTGAACATACTTTCTTTTGGGCCTTGAGAGACATGTCAAATTGCAATATACAATGTACAGCAATTCAAAAACACTGCTAAATATGCAAGACTCAGGTTACAAATGTTTGAATGGAGATAGTCCATTGAAGCTTTTTTAAATCAGATTTAATCAGGCATGTTTTTGAGAAATTAGCCCTAGGCCATACGATTGTATGTAACCATGACAACTTGTTCTATTTTGCCTTGCGATAAATATAAACCACTGAAATAGAAGTAACTGTTACTACTAATGACATGGAAATGCCTTTAGCTGAAAGTCATCCTACCTCACACGTAGTGGTTAAACTGTCATTGTCTACAACCATACAGAAAGCAATTTGTTGATCCAATGTGAAGATTGGTGCAGATCTATTATTCATTCCCTGGTTTCATGCACTGACGTCTAAAATTAGTTGGGACTCATGAAAAATAAATGCAAGGCTTTTATCGTGGTGCCTGCTATCATAAGATTTGTCACCAACAGATGGTGTGCACTGAAAACGCTCTGATGCAACGGACTGTGCGCCATGATCCAATGTGACGGGTCAAACCTAGAACAGTTGGGCCGGGGTGGCCATATGCAGAGGGACATGGGGCCCTGGCTACAGTCAGGAGGGAAGCCATCCACTCTCTAATCTCGCTAATCACTTTGTTTAATACACTGACTTACGACTCCATTATACTCCAAAAGCTGCAAAGCTGTAAACCATTCTGAAGTGTTCCCATTGATTAATCATTCTTTTAGATGGGTTTTATCTGCTAACATGGAACCCTGACCTGCAGAAAATATTTTTGAGTGTCTTTGGTGTTCAGTATGGTATCAGGCCAATGCAATGTCACTGTTCCTTAATTCAAAGAATAGAAACTCATAAACGAGAGGCAAATATATTGATCTAGTGTGTCCTAAGACAATATAGTAAGAGAGAGCCAGTATTTCTCACTCATTAATTCAATCTATTTTTTATTCTAATTAATTAATTAATTAATTTAATAACATAATTGCTGGAACACAGACATAACAGATGTGCAGAAAACACTCAAGGTCTCAAGGTCCACTGTAACTCTTTAGCATTGTAAAAAGTGGTCACATGGGATAAGAGATGCGACCTATAAAATATATTGCAATAAACTGAATTTGGCAAAGCGATGCTGTGATTGGCATGAAAGAAGGCTTTAATAAGACACTTAGACACCTAACTGTCTTTAAAAGATGAAAAAAGGAGGAGAAAGACACTTCAACAAGCGTTTCAGCATTAATTTCTCTCCTTAATTGTAGGGGACCTAATGCACCTATAATTTAACGCTGTGAAAGAGACCCCTAACATTATTAAATGTATTGTAAACTCAAATGGATCAATAAAGCCCCTTTAGTCTCAACTGTTAAAGGTTAAATCTTCAGCCTGGCAAAGAAAGCACAATGAAGTCCTGGCCAAAAAAGAAAGCCATGAAGCCAAAGTCATCAATGGCAATTTTTTGTACCACGATAACACTAGCTTTCAGCACTTACGAGAAGGTGAAGTATATCGGGGAAATGAATGAGATGTAGAACCAAAAGAAAGGTGAAAGTACTCCACTTCCTGTGGCAGTGGGCATACCAACACGCAGTTCATCTCTCCTGATGCTCTCATTGTCATGCCAGTCTCTCCTTCTTAAACCGTCTGTCCAGCTGTAAACATGCCCATCACCCAAACTCAATGGGAGCCCCTGGAAAGGAGAGACACCAGAAAGGCATGTTCAGGTACATCACATTCATGAATGTTGCTTAATGTATCATCATTATTTCTCAGTTTTGCTAAGAAATGTTTGTTCAGGTATTAAATCCAATACAACACATTTAACAGGTATTTAAGAAATGAAACAATTTTTGTAAATCTTATAAGTGTACTTCAACATACACTACCATTCAAAATTTGTAATCACTTGTCAAATTAATATGCTCTATTGTTATCTGTCTTGAGATCACACCCTTTTGAGATATGAGTTATTCTAAATACTATTTTTATTATAACTTTTACTATATTTGGGTCATTGACGTATTAGGATTTTCAATAGGCCAATTTTAAAATACAAAAAATAGGTATATCAGTTGCGATTGTTCAAACACTGAGAATGTTGTGAACACATAAATTCATACTTAAATTTTAGATTAAGTTATTTTAGCATTTTTTCATCTAGACGAAATGGCTGTGGCCTTAAAAAAAGTCATGTAGATTCCAAAAACACTAAAATAAAGTACTTTATATATATGTCATCATTTGAATATAAAGCACAAAAACTGCCAATTTATGACATATATCTATTATAGAAAACACTCGATCACACCACATGATATTTGGTCGCACCACATGACATTTTCAAGTTCAGTCAAAATGTACCAGCACAGAATTGGCCAGCGAAAGAAAATAAGCTAGCTTTCCACAAAAGGTGACTATGAAATTTATAATGAAAATATATATTTGTAGAAATAATTTAATATCCATTATTTTTTTGAGGTCATACCACATGATGTTCAAACGTGGCAACGACATGCCAGCCGTTAAAAAGGTTATTTTTTCCCAAATTTCAGAGAAACTTACAAATCTGCTTGCTGCTTCCATGGGTCGTTGGCAAACTGCTATATGATGCATCCTCCTGTTTTTGAGATGGTTTTAATATAAACGTCCCAAAGTGGTCGTTTCTTGATGGTTACACCACATAATATTTCATAAAATGGACATCATCAGACAAAGTTTGTTTGTATATTATGATGGAAATAAAATTAGAAATGCCTTGTAGTTTTGAACAGGACGACAAAACACTTTGGAAATCATGTCAAATGGGCAAAAAAATAAAAATGAATAGATTCAATTTCAAAGAAGTTTTCAAAACAGCAGTCATGGCCGGACGGTCGCACCACATGATATTTTGACCCTTTAAGTAATAGGAAAATTACAATTAACTAATATTTTTTGAAAAGTTAAAGTGAGTAGATATGTGGGAGAAGTATTACATATATATAGTACCTTTTTATGCATTTAAACCTTTTTTAAACTGAAAAAAATGCTTTTTTATGCTCCTCAGCTTTCTATGTCTTTTTATATCTTTCTTTTTCCTTACAGTGTCTTAGCTGCCTACAAATAATGTGCTGTGGAGTTGCGTATTACTAGCATACTGGAATCATTTTATACATTTATTTCAAACTTCATTGCTTTTAAATGATCAAAAACAACGATTGCAGTCTATTTAACGGTGAGTGCAAATTTCTGAATGGTAGCGTATCTCAAACGAAAACATCCAAAACTATAAACACTAAACGCATTTATGTTTAATGGTGGATGTTTTAAATATTCAAATATCTAAAGACTCCCTGCAATCAGAAACATGTTTTAAATGGTCAACTCTTGCATGATTTATTATGATTATATGGATTGGCATTTGTGTAAAAAAAATTATAACAGCACAATTTTAACTTTTTTTTTTTAACAACACAGGCTTTCCCAGTGCTTTGGAGCAATTTCTGAGGTGCTACCTAGCAGCTTAGTTTTCTGCACAACAAATAAGCTTGAACCGTTTGTATGTGAAGCCATTAACCGAGTAGAAGTAGGGTTCCCTATGCTTCTCCTGAGCATAACAATGATATATACTTTTGGGCACGTTAAATCTCTACAATGTGTGTTTAGATGATCAAATAAAATGGCTCAAACGTTGTTTGTATGAAAGGCCAGCTGTAGCGCTTGTATGTACTGGGAATAAATGGCGTTTGGTGAAGTTACTCACCGTGAGCCTGATGACTCCGACTGCCGTGTTATTTCAGCAGAGGATAATGTATTTGTGATTAGACTGTGTCAGATATTGGTTCGGTTGCAGGCGGGTGTGATTCCGATTTTCTGCGGGAGCAAGATGAAATCTCGGGGGAAAAAACAGTCCCGCGCAGACCTCTAGTTTGATCACCTCCTCTTGCCTCCCAGCTCTTGTGTCATTTGTAAGTTGTGCAACACTATGATTATACTCATTTTTCTTCATTTGAATTTTGTTCAAAATATCATAAAAAGATTGAATAATGATTCAAAAGGAATCGTGGGCTAAGTGCACCATTACACCCCTAAAAGAACATGAACAGATATTCATGTAATTGAAATTACTATACTTAAATTTGGTAAGAATAAATGTTTCATTGCATCATTTATGGCTTTGAGCAAAAGATCCAAATTTCTCTTTAGCTCTGATCAGTTTACACTTGGGTGTGTTTGTGTGTGTGTGGGGGGATGGTCTTGTGTCAAGAGGAGCCTGTAATCTCTTTAGTAATCGCAGGTGCATTCAGCATGTCATATTTCTGCATTTTGTGTCCTTGCAGTTGCAAAGATGGGACTTGCCTTGAGACATTTTTGGGGTTCTGCTGCTTTGCCTACACTAGTCAACTCCTGGTTAACGGCTCTCAAACTTTATAGCAAAAGTAGACATGAGGTCTGAGAGGGCCGTCATGCATCTCTGTTGTTCTGGCACCTCAGTCAGTGCAATAAAAGATAGCAAGTACCAGAAAAGTGCTTCAAAAGAGCTCCAATCTGATCCACTATTAGCCCATTCCCTTTTCCAGGACTTCTGTAAATTACAGTATATTATAAGTGTATGTTGTGACATTAGATCTGATACTACGTGCTCCTTGGAAGCTGTACCAATTTATCTTCTAGTATTAAGTGATGAAGAGTATGATCAATTAAAATTTCCAGCACCATCTAACTTTCTGGAACATGCTACAATGAAACTATAATCACTCATGAACACAACAACAAATAAGAACATAAAAAAGTGATTGTGGAGTGACATGTTCAGTAAGAATTGGCTAGAATATTTAAGCAATAACAAATAGCGTGAATGTGCAAAGGAGTCTGAAGGATTTAGGGTGCAACCGTGCTCCAGAAAATTAAAAACTAATAAATACAGAAAAAAAACGAGTTTATAAATGGTTCTGTCCAGGAAAATTAACAACTCAAGCACATTCAAATGTAAATGAAAGTCAAAAGTTAAAAAAATTAAACATGATTCATGTCAACAACTGTAGGAGCTAAGAGGAAATACTGCTGGCGGCCATGTTAGACGCCACATACTCTTCTAATCACAAACCTCATCAGTAATGTGGTTTCTGACAGGGAGGCTAAGTGGCACAGCACAGGTGGAACTGAAGCAAGGTCATTACCGTAATGGTAGCCGCTCTTCGAGTGAGCACGCTCAGAGTAATTTGCATAGCTCCAGAACTTGACATGAAATAATTGCCTCAGCCGAAAGGTAATTCCATTCTTTGAGAGCACAATTTTGGCCCGCTTCTTTATTTATTAAGGCTAGTAATTTCTCCCCCTCTGCTTTTCTGGAGGAAAATTTTGAGATGGCTCAGGGGATCTGTTCACCAAGGAGAAGGAGCTCATGCCCAGCTCATAAAGGCGAGGTCACATGGAGTCAAAAGCAGTTGGAAATATTTCATTACCTGGCCTCCGGGGCGTTGCTGGTAACAACGAGGTCTGAATTTCTCTAAGCTAGCTGGCACCTAGACAGCCTGCTCTACTGCCCTGTGCTTGCTCCAAAGCAATGAAGCGGAGCAGGGACACTTAAAAAACGATATTAAAAATGGCACACTAAGCAGAATATTTATTTCCAGTCAACACTGAAACATTTCCATTGTGAATCTATCTATATTCTAAGAGCTAAAGACCATAGTTTTGTATTCCAATGGTATATACAGCGCATATTTGCCAGACAACACAGAAGAGACATCCTTAAAGACACTTTGGTTCACTGATGGCTCTTTAAAGCTCTTAAAAAAACTCAAGGATTTCAAATACTAAACTGTTCAGTCCCACTATGATCAAGGCACTTCTGCTTATTTCCCAGGTATTCTTGGTCTGCTTAAGCCTTGAAGAAATTCAGCCTTCAGTCATATTCTTCAGGCTTTGAGGTTTTCACCTCTAGTCTATGCCTGGGCCACAGGTAGATCAAACACACTTGCACCATTCGTCTTCAAAAACAAGTGTAAACAATTTAACAGGCATCCAACAAAGTAAAGAGCCCAAAAATCCAATGCTGTCTTGTTTTTCTGTTCTGTTCTGTGGAGTACATAATGTCAATCTGAGAGACACCGAAGGACAATGCAACCAGATGTACCACTAACAGCCTAAACACTACAGCTATACTGGCACTATACAAGCAAGACAGTAAGAACTACTTCGCAAACACTCTTCACACATACTGAAATAGTAAGTCACACCTCCATTCCCACAAGCACAAAAAAATTACACGAGTTATTTTTGTACTTCTCACTGTTTTGCAGGCAGCAGGTTCAAGATAATTAGTGCAGTTTTTTTCCACACACCCAAAAAAGTCCATCAAAATATAGAATCAAATAAGATGAGAACAATCTGAGCTCAACAGCAAAAACAAGGGTTCAATCTTGTTTGACTAATCATTTTTTGACTATACATCTGTCTGTGGTTCTGGAATTTGATTTCAGAAGCCAACAGCATGGGGCACTCAAAGCTCAAAGTGATTTTTCAGCTTGAGCTTTAAAAAGGTTCATCAACAGATGAGTTCCTCTCTCTCTCTCTCTCTCTCTCTCTCTCTTCTGTTCTCAACATTTCTGCCACTCAGATGCTCTCAGGCATATTTAGCTATTCTTTGGCAGTCCGTCAACCCCTACTTCCCTCACACCAATTCCAGTAAATTTAGCAATTACTGGC